TTCCGCAAGATCTTCCAGAATATTCCAAATCTGTCGCGAAGGTTCTACGCACCTCGACGTGTCTAGTGCGCTCATATGACGCGATCGAGAAGACGCAGCCTTTTCTCTCACGTTTTTGTTTAGTTAGGCCAAATGTCTGGGTTAAATTAATTATGAAGCTTTTACAATATTTCGCGGCTCCCCGGGGCGCCGCGGGGTCTTCATATCTTCAAAATATGCACAGTTCGTCGTCAGGTTGGCCACTATCATTACTGACCCTTTGCTTTACTTCGTGGTCATGTTGGTCTAGTGTGGATTGCAGGGCATGTTTGGTATCTTCTACAGGAATGTTAGTGTACATAGACCCAGCAAATCCCCACTTTCTATCTCCTGGCTTTTAATTAAAGAAACGACCTGTAATTCAATATCACTCCTATTCTCTTCTGGAAGATGGTCGGTAAAACTTATGAGTTCCACCAGCATCTCCTCCTCATTATCCTTACTGTGTGGCAAAGCAAAGTTCAAACCTTTCGAGAACACTTCTTCGGTGGTAACGTCCAATGCTACTTTGGAGAGGTTTACTACCTTCTCACTAGCAATCCTTACTCCCTAACGTCTCTCATATACATATTTTGATTAGGCTTTGACCTGATTCGTATACCCAAATATCTCAGCTTCATATCATGTCTGTATCTAACCTGTCCATCATTCTTTATAATTTAGATAAATCTTCCAAGCTAAGAGTACTCGCCAATGATTGGCGTAATCTGGTTTTCCTCCTTACCAAGAAGTGTAGGGTCATAATGTTTTGTCGGGTTCTAATATTAACTTGCTTATTTCTATTAGACAAATTTGCTCTATGAATAATAAAAACCCTAGGAACAACCTTTAGATAAAAACATAATTTTAAAAAATGATTATAGTTGATTTGCCAGGTCCTTTCTTTCTTAGTCTTAGTGTAAAGTGATGATATTCAGAAACATTGGTATCCGTACGTACCACGTAGGTATGTAGAAAAACTGGGCTTCGAAGAATTCCTTAATAGATTGATGTTGTAATACCCTTCATTTTGTTTGAGTAAGCAAGTTGAAGGGATTCGTAAGCTGGTCCAATCTGAAGCTGTAGGAGGATTGCCTTGGAGCTGTGATTGGAGATTTGTGCGAATAGTTCCCCGGCGCACATCATTACTGAGCTTTCGTCCGTCATATGACGGACATCGTCAGAACAGACACCATGCTTAACGATAATTTAACAAATAGGTTGGAGGGATTAACATATTTGGGGCTAGATTAAAATGTAGACCACTATACCAGAATCCTTGTGCTGCTACCGTGTAATCAGTCGAAGAAGATGGGCGAATTACTGAGGAGGTGGAACAACAAGACCATTTATATATAGAAAATAACGCTTTCTCGATATCTTGTGACATGACTCTCAATTTTGAAAGGAATGTTGTTAGGAAGGAATTCGTGACGTAGTCTCATCAGAAAGGAGGATTGCCGCGTTGGGAAGACTGATGAATTGTGCAAAGATGACCTCGGCTCACAGTCTTGCATAGTTTTATTGGGGTCACAAGGCGGTGAGCCGAGGACATCTTTATACAATTCAACTGTCTTCCCTACGCGGCCATCCTCCTTCAGTTTCTAGTGCGACCACATCACAACTTTCTTCCAACCAACTTTCCCGTCGAAATGAAGAGTCATGACACAAAACATAGGATATACAACTAAAACATGAGGTGCCTAAGTGGACCAAATTGGACTACAAGAAGTACGTAGGTTTGAAGTCTGTCTTGTCTTCATGTTTTTGGTGAATTATCGTTAATAATGCTGACCTACCCTGACGACGTCCATCATATGGCAGACGAAAGCTATGCGAGGATTCATCGCGGTTGCAGGGTTGTGCATCAAGGACCTACTCGCGCAAATCTACAATCACCGCTCCCATACAGCTTCCGGTGGAACCAACTTACGAACCCCTTCCGCTTGCCTCTACAAAGGAAATGAAAGATACTACAACATCAATCTATCAAGGGATTCTTCGAAACCTAGTTTTTATACATACCTTAGTAGTTTAGTATATTGCTATAGCAAATATAACTTTGTTTTATCGATGGTCTAACTACAGAATGTGAGAGGTATTCATCCTATTTCGTTTAAGCTGATGAAGGACTGTTAGTAGAATTTTCCCACAATGATATGAGTAAAGCTGACATTTTCATTGAATTTTACATAGCTTTACTTTCCCGAAAGTTGTTCTTATCCAGGGTGAACTGCAGTTTCGACCTCACATCGATCTTATCAACACCCCAGCGGGAGTCGAACCGCGACAGTGCAGAAGGGGAGCTTGATACGTTAACCACTCGTGACAATGTGGTCGAGTGATCAACGTATCAAGCTCCCGTTCTGCATGGTTCGAATCCCGCTGAGGGTGTTAATAAGACCGGAACTTTTGTCTGGATGATAACAACTTTTGGGAAAGCAAGGCAATGTGAAATTCAATGGAAAAGTCAGCTCTATTCATATCATTGTGGGAAAATTCTACTACCAGTCCTTGATCACCTCAAACGAGATAGG